CGAGCTGCTGCGGCTTCGTGGCCTTCCCTGTCCCCAGCGCTGTCACGATGCTCCCGGGGGAGCTGGGAGCCACCTCCTGCTCCTGCGCGGCAAGCGCTGACCTCGCCGCGCTCTCGCCTGTACTTACACAAAACCTCAGCTACTTACAAGGAGCTTATACCACGCCTGGAGGCTTGGCGTTAAAAATATTTGGCTGTACAGTAACTGTTGAACAAGGTTGTGCTTTCATTGGCAACGGCTCTTGTTATTAAATCCTTTTCGGGAGCTCATCTAAGCCCAACAAATTAACATAAGGGAAACACGATAGCTCATGTCAACCTACCAAAATAATCCAAATCTGTAGTTACAACAGGGAAGACATAAACATGGCCTAGGAAGAATAACTGCTGCGTGTTTTGCTTCAGCATCTGGGCTGCTGCTGCTCAGAAAAGCGCCCGGTTTTGCTGGGAAATAACCAGGGGAAGGTCAGGTGCAGCCTGTGAAAACTGCCGGCCCCTGCCGAAACCTGGGGCACCCAGGGATGCCGGCGCGGGGCGGCTCTGGGGACCCCCCCCGGTCTCGGCCCTGCCACGGCCATAGGGGGAGGAGAGGCAGAGCCCCCCGAGCCGCAGCGTCCCCACCCCGTCCTCATCCCCGGGGCGCGGGCTGGGAACCCCACGCCGGCCGCCGACGCTCCCCGCCCAGCGCTGCCGCGATGAGCAACGGTGAGTCACAGCCCTGACTCAGACCCTGCTCGTCCTCCGTGTGTTAAATACCACTTATTCTACGTGTTCTGGGGGACAGCACGGAGATACGCTCCTAGAGAGATAAGAGGCTTTTCCGTTGCCTCGGCTGTAGCCGCTACATGCAATAATTAAGCTGCGGGAACTGGCGATTGCTTACTCCGGGTGCCCGAGCGTGGCCAGCGCCCTGCCCTGCTGCCATGACCCCGCTGTTTGAAATTAAACAATTACCAGCTTTCCGCCGCGTTGTGACAAGTTGTTTTCAGCTTCCCTTTAGGAGTCAAGAAACAGTGACAGTAGACTCCGCAGAGCTCAAACGCGAAGGGGAAAGCGCGTTGAAGAAAAGGCTCCTGAAGGCAGAGGCAGCCCAAGCACACGCAGCCTGCGGATGCCCCGGCCCAGGCGCAGCGGCAGGGCTGTATCACACATGCAGACACACACTACTGTGGGTATTAAAGAGCCTAAATCTGATTAAAGCCTTTCTATCCCCACCAGTGGTCAATTCCAGAAACCAGCTCACCCAGGAGGCCGAATTCATTTCATCCCCGAAGTCTAATTAAAGCCATTAGTGTATTCCTTGTCTTTCTGATAAGATCAAAGCATTCCAAGAGCCAGTCATTACCTTATTTTCAAGACAATTATACAACGTATAGCATCGATTTATTCTGCCTCCAGCTGTATGCATTTATCTCTGTCTATCATCGGGTAATCAGTACCATCAGACACAGCCCGGCCCGGGCTCTCAGCTGACAAGGGCCCGCGCTCCCCGGCCTCGGTGTCTTTTCCACCTTCAGCTGCAAATTAACACCTGAGGCAGCGCCGGGTGTCCAGACCCCAACGCTCATGGCCACAGTGGGACACGGGGCACGTCCAGGCCACCAGCCAGCCACGACCTGCTCTGCGGCTGCGGAGACGCTGGGATGCCCGAACCCCCCGAGCGCTGCCCCTGGGTCCCCTCGTCCCCGCTGCCCCCCGCGTGCCCCCGCACGGCTCCGGCCGGGGGACGAGGCTCTGCAGAGCCGGGCAGGCTGTCCCTGCAGCGGGGCCGGGGCAGCGTGCACGGGGGCGCTTCCCCCTCGCATAAACACGTCTCCGGCATCTCACGGCCCCTGCAAGGGCAGAGCTGTGAATTTTCAGCTCTCAGCTAATCAACTCGCCTGCTAGTCCAAACTTGTCAGGAGCTTTATCCCGGCCCTGCCGGCCTCCTCCCGGCCCACGAGTGACAGAAGACGTTCCCATCCCTCCCCGAGACACATCCAGCTGCTACAAAAACAAACATCCTCCCGCTGGCGATTCCTCCTCTCAGACAGCCCTGACCCCGCTCCCCGCGGGCAGCCCCTACAACAACATCTGCGCTGCGCCCGTGCCCGGCCGCCGGCACGTCCCCAGTCACCACCAGTAAAAGGGTGATGTTTATGGCGGGGATGGCAGAGCTGTGTTACTGCTTAAGCCGGGGCTTTATTAATCGCTGCTTCTCCCTATTCCTCCGTGACAAAAGATTGATGACCCGGCCGAGGCCGAGCTGCCCGTGAGGCTCCCGCAGACGAGAGGCAGCTGTGGCAGAGCTGGGCTCCTGTCCCGGCCAGGCCGCCGGCCCCTCGCTGTGCCCGGGCAGGACGAGCTGCCCCCAGGACGCGGTTTCAGGAGCTTCTGGGCAGGGTCTGGTCAGGTTGAACACGAAGGGGCTCGCAGAAACCCCTCTGGAAGCTGCTGTGGGCTGTAGGGTCCTGCCCCTCACCCGCTCCTGGCCAGGCCACGGGTCTGTCTCTGTCCATTTTGTCACCTCACCACATTGGACTAAACACCCTCGCTGCGCTCCTGCTTGGCCCAAAACGTGGCCGTCGGCAGCTGTGGCTCCAGGACACCCTGGAGACCCCCCTGTCCATCCTCCAAGTGACCAGGATTTACGGGGGTTTGCAGCACTGCCGGCCCCCGTGCCTTGGATAACGTTCCACCTTTGCTGGCACCCACCTGTAGGTGCTGGCAGCAGCAAATCCATCCCTGGGCCGGGCTGGGGGGGGCACTGGGCAGCACGGGGGCTCTGCCCGTGACGTGGGAGCTCAGGGCGAGCTTGTGCCCAGACCCAGTGTACGTGCTGCTCCTCCAGCCCTTTGCGAGCAGCGCACAGAGCTGCACGAACATGTCAACAGCTCTTGGACTCCGCATGGAACAAATTCCCCTCTTGCTTTCAGAGCGGGATGAAACCCGTCACAGCCAGCTCTTCAGCTGGATTCCCTCTTCCGCGCGTCGCCCCAGAGCTGTTCAGCCCGTGGGAGCGGCGCAGGGGGCTCCACAGCCCCTGCCCGGGGACGAGCCCTGCCTGGCCAGAGCGGGGCCAGAGAGGCCAGCCCGGACCCAGCACCAGCTTCAGCTTCCCAGCATCGCCCAGTGTCTCCGCCGCTGCTCCCCACGGGGCTCAGCAACACGCCGGCTCCACCAGAGCTGGCCCCTCGCCGCCCCTCGCAGCCACGGGTCCTTCAGCCAGAGCCAAGAGCGGGCTTGAGGCACACGGGCCGTGGGAACAGTGGCCCCCTGGACCCAAAGTCGTGCAGCCACGGGGGGACCTGTTTTCCGCTTGGACATCCACCGATTCCTGATCAGCTGGACCGAGTTTGGTTTGTATTGCAATTACGTCCCCACGAACTCCGCAGCAGCCACACACGCGGATTTACCGACGTGGTTTGCAACCGTGGGGCGACAGGGCAGGAGCGGCCTGTGACCCCCCCAGGGCCCAGCCCCGGGAAACGCACACCAGCAGGAGGCACGAACTGGCCGCAGAGGACTGGAGCCCAGGCACGGGGCATTTCACCCTCCTGATCTAGCCGCGTGTTTGCCAGTTCCTCTGTCCCTGTCCCCAAAGCGATGGTTGCCCCCAAGCCGATCTTCCCGGCCCCTTTAACGTGCTGCCGGTGGCGGTGGCTGCGGCGCCTGGACGGCGCCCAGGGGTTATCAGCAGCGGTGGCCGAGGCTGAAATAGCAGGGCAGGCAAGCGGGGTGAGCAGACCTCAGCCTCTTGGCATGTTTGCTTGTGCTAAACCTGTAGCATGAAAACTTTTCACAACAACACTCAGCGCTTGAAGCCTTCCTTGGCCTCGTGCGCCCCGGCGGAGGGCGAGAGCCAGGTCTGGCTTTGCGGGCTGGGTTGCGCAAACAAACCACGGCCGCAGGCACTGCGGCGGGGACAGCCTGAAGCTGATGCTACAAGGTGAGCGCACACCAGAGCAAAAGCTCTTTCTCCTGGCAGAACCGCAGGTTACAGCATCGGGGGGGACAGCCACACTCCCCAGGGGCGCTCCCTGTTCCATGATGTGCCGCCACGGCCCGACAGACCCTCACCAGCACCCGGTATCCCCCAACACCTCCCCGCGGCCCCCCCGGGTTTATCCCCCCGGCAGCACGGATCCTTGCCCCGCTGTGGCTCCAGAGTTTGCCTCAGCCCTGGGCATTGCCCAGCCGTGAGATGCTCTGGGGCGCCACGCTCACCCCTGCACCCCGGCTGCGGTGCGGGAGCCAGCGACACCCCGCTGGGAGCTGGGCCCAGCCCAGCCCATCCCTGCTTTGCTGCTCAGTTTAGCAAACCTGGCGCCTGGTGGCAGGGCTGGACTGGTTGTGCTGGGCCAAGTTAGGGTTTCTCTTGGCACCTCTGCGGGGATGCTGGTAAAGCCGTGCTGGGGGATCAGCTGCTCAGCGATCTCCCCTTTTCCTCGGAGGAGAACCGCCAAGCGCGGGGCCGGTAGCACCTCACAGCGGCTCTGCGGCCCTGCCAGCGCTCAGCACCGCCACGGGCCGGCAGCCCCTGTCCCAGCAGCACAGGCACTGTCCCAGCTCCGTCCCCCTGTCCCGGCTCCATCCCCCTGTCCTGGCTCCATCCCAGTGTCCCAGTTCCATCCCCCTGTCCCAGCTCCGTCCCCCTGTCCCAGTTCCATCCCCCTGTCCCAGTTCCATCCCCCTGTCCCAGTTCCATCCCCCTGTCCC